CGAAAAACGCTGGTCAAAAATTCATTTCTAAAAAAGCATGGAAAAGTATAAGCAACTTATTATTAGGTAGCCGAGTTCTGCCAAAAGATATTGCAGAGGGTTTCAATGATTACTTTTCAGATAGTAGCCCTGATTTAACTAGCAAAATTGATACTTCAAAATATAATTTTGAAACATATACTAAAAGTGCTGAATCAGAATTTGCTGCATTCCAGCCTGTTAGTGTCAGTCATGTCTGTTGTCTCTTGCATGGGCTTTCCAGCAATAAAGCAACTGGCATTGACAAGATTTCTTGTAAAATTATTAATATAACTGCAACAGCTATTCCAGACTCATTGGCATTTATTTTCAATCAGGCTATATCTCTATCGTCCTTTTCTATAATGAATGGAAGATTGCAAAAGTAATCAGTACCTTTGTGAGTGAATTATGTATGATCAACTGTACAACTATTTAACAAAATTTTAACTCCTTAGCGATTCTTAATTCAGTTTTCGAAAATCACATTCTACAGCAACTGCATTACTAGACTGTAGCAATGATTGCATGGTATATGAATCTAGAAAGAAAAAAGTTTAAGGTGGCTCCCTAAAGTTTTGATTGTACAGCACACAATTGTATTCAAGAAACCATTATTTTATCATCTTGCAAAGTATGATCACGAAACTTGGCCACATAACTGCTACAATATATATGGCGAATTACGAAAAATAAAAATGTTGTTCAAAATTCTCGTTGCCATGGTAACAAAGTGATTTTAAAAAGGGCCAATTTGCAATTCTTTTATAATTTTTTAAAAATTTCTTCGGTAAAACTTTTTAATTTTTTGCACACAGTAATCTTATCTATAATTCCATCAAACGATGGCATTTAAAAAAAATCGTGCGAGAATTTTTTTTCAATTCTCAAAACTAGCCCTGCTTTAGGAATAAAAAAAGTTCGGCTCGTACGATTTTCAAGATTACAGGAAAGTGTGTGAAATTTTAAAAAATTTTACCGAAGGAAACACGAGAAAAATAAAATTATTTTTATCTCAGTAACGTCACAAAATTCAGGATTTTAATTTCCTCGCGCAAGACAGCTTTGGGAGATTCTATAACTGAAGTTGAGACTGCAGTACATTCTGATTTGGAAAACGTCAGAAAATGGTTAATTGCCAATTAACTTAGCCTAAATTTAGCTAAGACAGAATTTATGTTAATAATTGGTTCAAAGGCAATGATTATAAAATATTCTGATTCACGTTTGAATGTTTTCATTGAAAATAAGCGAATTAAACAAGTTAGCGAATGCAGAACTCTTGGGGGTAATAGTCGACCAGCATTTGTCTTGGAAAAGTAATTCTGAAAATATTTGCAAAATAATAACTGCAGAAATCTCTGCTATTCATCGAGTCAAACCTTTCGTTGACAAATATACACTCATTTCGATATGTAATTATGATGCTATAATTGTTCGTCCATACTTTGATTACTCTTGTGAAGTATGGAATGTGATTGGTGAATCACAATCAAAACAGCACCAAAAACTTCAAAATAGAGCTGCTGGAATTATCTTGAACATAACATTGAACTGAGAGCCACACAAAACCGAAAGGAAGAAAGCTAAGGCAAAAATGATTTACAAAGTATTCAATAGAATAGGCCCTAAATCACTCACTAATCTTTTTCATACAAATGTGAGAAAACAAACTACAACCTTCGGGACATTTCAAGCGGTCTTAGTTTACCAAAACCGCGTACTAACAATATGAAAAATATTTTCATGTATGACGGAGCACAACCTTGGGAATTCTATTTCAAAGGAAATTAGGGAAAGCAAAACTCTTTCTTCCTTTGGAAATACAATCGCTGTTCACAAAGTTGACATAGCTTGAGTAATAAGTAAATTGATGTAACTATAAATATTCTAATAATCTTCTTATCATGTAAATAATTTAATATTCTACCTTTTTAAACTTAGCACTTTTAATATCTCCATGCAACATTTTTCTATTCTTGAACACGCCCCCGTGGAAATCAGCCCTGGATGACGGGATCAGCGTGTATAAATAAAGTTTCTATCTATCTTTTTACTGATATAATCCCATTGTTCCACCAAGCATTCCTTCACTGCCTGACCATGGTATGAAGCACGGAAATATCAAAGATTACAAGAAAATTGAAGGAAAGCAACACCATAAGCTAAAGCTAAGGTCTATGGCATTCATGATCTCCACGGATAGTCAGGGATGAGCTGATGAGAACTTGTTGTGGGCCCCTGCTATCATGGGCCCCTAAAAATAAAAGATTGGTAAAGAAAAAAATATAGGTTTTAATTTTGAAAATCAAAATTAAGATTTTACATTTTATATTGTAAAATTTAAAATTTACGAAAATATTACCGAAAAATTTAACAAATTACGGTACATTAATTCGAAAGTCACTGAAAATTTATTTTTACTTTCCCCGCTCGCCAAAAATTTTTGGGGAAAAAGATTAATTAGCGAATGAAATGTTTGATGTTTGATGTTTGAACAGTAAAATCCGCCACCCCAATCTTGATCCATCAGTCACTGTGCCTGGGCTCCATCTAACGTTGCTCATTAATCGTCATTTTCAAGACCCCACCACGTCCCTGGGACAAGCCCTTCCGTGGGCTAAGGTTGATGACCTTCGTCATTACGAATGTGAAAAGGGATGCCCTTTATCTGTTGTGGAATACAAATTCCTTGGAAGAACAGAGATATTACCCCTTTCGTGACTCCTGAAGTAGGTATAAGCAATAGATCAAAAACATTTTTTGATTGAAGAGGAATTGTCGAAAATGATCAAAAACATTTACATTGAAGAGGAATTGTCGACATTACTTCCAAGTACTGTTGCAAATGTTTGTGTATAAGTTATATTTGTGTGACTTTGTTACATGGACCAAGCTTGGCATATTTACAGCTAGATGAAATCCCTTTTGACGAAATTATATATATGCATAATGTATGGCCAGTTGTTGAAGGGCTTCAATAGTTTTGGGTAAATCACGCATGTTTCAATCTCGTTCCCACGTTCTTTCCTTTTGCGAGAGAACGTCCCTGGTCAGAGCGAATACTATATAGTAAACACATGGTAGCCTCGGTTTCTTTTGTTTCAACAGGGACGTTTATTTAATCACCTATTTCCCTCATTACCCATGCATACGCTTTTGTCTTCTAAATTTCCCCGGGAAACGGGGATATTTAGTTGAAAATAAAGGATTTCTTTTTCTTCTAATTTTCCCCTGCATGCTTGATGAGGGATATTTAGAAGACAAAAGCGTACCCTCATTACCTCTGATTGGAGAGCTGTACCTCATCGAAAATCATCGGCACAACTATGGACACCGTCCCGTACACATTCGAACAATCACTTTGCCAGCTTTTATTCCCCAAACTTGAACATATCAATTGTGGGAGAAAATTCCGTTTATGCGCATGCCTAAAATGAATGAACACGGAGATGTGTTTCTGCGCGTGCGTATATACGAAAAGTTTTCTTACCACAATCATAAGACAATCAAACAGCATTCAAAACAGGTAACACACCACGCGCGACTCTTTCGGCTACCATGTATTTACAAACTAAACGCATGCTTTGAGGGGAATTAGTGATTAAATGACCCCCCTCGGTTTGCGGGGTTTGCGGGGAAATTAGTGATTAAATAAACCTCCCTCGGTTTGCGGGGACATTTAATCACTAATTTCTCTCAAAGCATGCGTTTACTTATAATAAATAGCCTTCCGTTGGGAAAACGCTCATGGAATATGATTATATTAAATAATTATTAGCATGTTAAATATAGGGGTTCAAAGCTCTAAAAAACACTTGTGTACCTTTGTAGTCGGATTGTTCAGGAGGGATACATGATATGACATTTGACAAAATCATGAAAAAATCCCGACTTTCAAATTATCATCCCTTTCAGCAAGTTTCTTGTAACAATGATATTTTCAAATTTTCATTTTTCCCAAGAACTATTATGACCTGGAACAATCTCCCTTTTATCGAACTTCCTGCGAATGTCCCCCCTTTTAAAGTTCTGCATTAACTACATTAAGAGCATCAGTATAATTTTGGCTGGACTCTTTTATTGCATGTACATTTTTACCTTTTAAAGTTTTTTCATATATATAGTTCATTCTGTTAATGCATATACATATACAGTATACACATCTCCTAGTATAGTGCAAGCTGATTTAGGAGTATCATGCAGATTAAAGATTTAAAGATTTAATAAAGACAATTCAAGAGGAATCAATCTTTCAACAACGCTCGAAAAAATATTGACTGTATTAGCCTACTTAGTCACTTATATTATCATTTTTATGCATCCATTTTCACCCGCCTGCTCCCCCTCCCCCCCCCAATTTTTTATTTTAATTGTATTGCCCTCATATATATGCACAACCTAAAGCAGCCGAAATAATGTTCATCATCGAATATAACAGAGTTGAGGACACGTTGAATATTTGCGCAAGCAAATGACCGGTTAGGCACGTGCACCCACTTACAGTACGCAACTGTTGTGCATCTGTTGTGTACTCTCTCTGATCTCAAAACCTATACTGCATGGCCCATTTGGTAGGCATGAATAAAGTCAATGGTGGCCATATTAGACAGTGTGCACCATACATATTTTCTGTGCTATTGTTGACATATTAGAAGAGGTTTTAGCTGTTTCTGATTATTGGCAGGAAAGTAAAATGGATTTGAATGATATGAGTAACCAAGTAGGTCTCATTAGTTTGTACCATAAAAAACGTTCTTATAGCTCGTCAAAAGAGATTTGGGATGATATATTTTTCAAGTTACATTGGAAAAACATTTGCTAGATGGTGCAGCATTAATAAAAAATTTAATAATTTGATTTTTGAAGAATATGAAAGCTTTAACAGTCCATCCTCATTGAATATTCACTCCTCGATGACAAAAGTTTGTTCCATCCAATCCAAATTAGTGAGTCTAAATCTGTAAAATCATTTAATTGCCTTAGTCAAAAATGACCTTCCTGCTAAACCTTTCGTTTTTGCAAATACAGCTTCCACCTGTAGTTTTCCGGCCACAAGTTTTGTCGCCGTCCCAATCCTTTTTATAATAACGAACGGCGGTGAGTTTTGCGCTTTCAGAATTCTGAGGCACGGTTTCGTGACGTATACACGATTTACCGTAACATTTGCATCCCCAGCCCATCCGACGATGACAGTCTTTATCGCTATGGCAGCCTTCTGGTGCAATAGTACACTGGAATACTGGGCGCTCTGGTGTAGAGTGCTCGGCGTAATTGAACAATTGAAGAAAGGGACCTCGGTCATCTGCAGGTATGTATGGACAGTCAAAATTAAGGAATCCATCAAAGTAGTATTGAAGGTTAACAGCTTGGACAGCCCTGTTAAGGTTAGACTGCTTGACTTGTTTCTGGCTATTTAAAACCTGCCAGATTGGTGTAAGTTTGTATCTAATAGGAGCCGGATTTGTGTCACCTTCTGAGAGGAATTTAAAGATAACATCAGCTGATTTATCAGAAAGTAGCCTGTTTCGAGTCTCGAGCGACCCCCCTCTTATTGTAATAGAAGTTGTCATTTTTGTATTAGTGATATCCTTCATGTCGTTTTTGCTTAATCCAGCGCAAGCTGATAAAGATAAACCCGCCGCACCAATCGCCTCGCCTGGCAAAGCTGCACATGCCTTGATTGTAAATTGCTTCTCTGTGTAAGACGAAGATTCTTCTCCGAAGGCGTACTGGTCAATACTCGCACCGTATGTGACAGCAGTGATTACGTGTGAGCCATGAGTGTGAAGAAAAATATCGTATTCCCTCCACGAGTCTTTGAACCATGGCTTGGATATCTCAATTGGGAGACTTGCGAAATCTTCCAACACTCTATCTTGTAGATTGGTATCGTAAAGGCAGGTAGACGCGAACTGTAGATCGAAATCTTTTCTAGCGATGTTCAAAGATGTTCCGCTAACCGACCGTTTATTACCACTTACACTTTTGGTTGTCGCGTCTAAAGTAAAACCAAGGGAGAAAACTTTTGCTACTTCAGCTTTCAAATTTGTTTCAGCTGCTATGCTTTTGAAAAAAATTTCAGTGTTTCGGTGAAAGGATTGCCCTTTGATCAAAGTCGGATTTTCCATCTTGCTAGTGCATTCTGTAGAGATTCCCTCGAAGAAAGTTATTCCGTTAGGAATTGAGCCCAAAAGATCCTCGTTTGGAATGTAGATAGATTTCCCCAGCAAGCGATCCATTTCAATTTCCGGCGAACCTGATTTAGAGAAAGACGAAGTTTTGACTATTTACTGAAGCGCAGCTTAATTTAGACAGAAATATCCTCAACCTCTTTCTTTCAAAAACAGACAAATGCACGAAGCATTGCGTAAGACATAATAAAATTCAAAAGAAATCAAAGATTAGGTCGAGGGTATTCGTGCCAACAAGGGGCTTTCTGTGGAAAATGGGCTACCGCGCTAACTGGTACGTATTGCCAGATCAGTATACGCTATTATATCTCACAGGTACACAGGGAGCAGAGGAGTCGAGTTTATCTAGTAAAACACGACAAACACCGTCTTACCTTGTTAATTGTAGTATATTTCATTGCATAATCCCAATGTGTACATTAAAAATGCATATTTATTCATCAAAATTATCGAATAGAAACCAAACAATTTGCCAAAATATGAATTTCAATATTAATATACTCCGCTGCCTTGAATTACCGTAGACTCGTATTTTCCGAAAAGCTAACGAATTCTGGTCGAGAGGGCAACGAATAAGAAACGAAGAAAGGGAGGAAACATTGCAGATCTTTCGTCGCATGTGCACCCATAGTCTTTCAACACATGGTTTGGAAACTCCACTGAGGTCTTTGTTCTATCTTTTTGTTCGCGTTTATGCAGTTTTGTGCACGGTGCACGGTCAATGAGCACATTATATTTCAGTATGATGAACGAATCATCCAATAGCAACGTTTCAGTTCAGCCATTCAACGCTTTGAAGTTTACTGAGTTTCCAGACCATGTTCGAAAGACTATGGTGCACTGCAACACCCTATGACGGAAGTGAATGAAACCAGAAGACGCATTGACCATTGACCAACGACGAAGTAGAACTTCACTTGACAGTTGTAATTAGTAACGAATTTTGAATTTCAAATTCACGTAAACAATAAACAACTATAAAGGTAAAATATTATTTGAAAATGTCAAATATTACTTGAAACATGGAGAGATTTAATTTAAAACGGCATGTGGTGAATTTTGTTGAAGTCGAGGAAAATTATTTTGAAATTTCGAACAGACATACATATATTTGTATCTAGCTAACTTAGTAAGCAATTCATTCAGCAATCCTCAATAAATATTTACTTTAATCGTTTCGCAATTGTCTTATTTTGTTCATATACCTTACATTTATATGGAATTTTCATATTAGTCTTGACGTTAGTTTTTCATAACCGAAACAACTGATGCATCAACACGAGAAAATACGTCACTTCCGTCATAGGATGTTGCGCTGTAAATCGTACGAAAATAATCGATGAATATCGGTCGTCAAATATGTGTGTTAATTTAAACGACTGTTTATTGAAATTTATTTC